CGGATCGTATAAGATGGCGGACTAGTAATTTTTATGGTACATAATGTATAACTGTTTACAAATGAAAGAGTTTGCTGAAAAGAATAGGAAAAAATAAAACGAAACGAACATGGGTTAGCAGCTCCTCTTTTCAACGACATACTCAATCTCATCTTATTATCCTCCACTGTGAAATACCAGCATTTACCTACTGTTAGCGCAGGATAATAGGTGTAAAGATCCGGTTAAGTCAGTCAGCACGTTGAGGCATATTTACCTAGAATTCTGGATGGTCTTGCAGGGACATTGCTGTCACTGAAGCTACAGTACCCACTATAAACCATCTCTACACCCAGGTTTAACAAGCTTAAAACTTTATTAAATTATGTAACACCAATTCAACTAAATACTAACAATCAATTGGGATCGCTGTATTAGGCTACAGAGGATACAGGGATTTAATTATAATCCAATTTCATTGTCCAGTGATGCGTGTCACTCGCCTCTATCCGTGTAATCACTTACCTGATTATGTTAGATTAGTCTCTGCGGTTGCTATTATATAGGTCTTGTACTATCAGTACCAAAAGTAGATTAACATAGAACCCTAATGCTATATGTACGTGTACAGTATAGTAGTTGCTAATGTTGATAGAATAGTAGTTTATATAAAAGAGAGTTTGTTCTAAAGAGTTTGTTTGTTTGAAAGCGCTAATCTCAGGAGTTATAGTTTCCACTTAGCATTATTCAGATTTATCGCTTTTTGTAAAATAAAGATACTTGAGCTGTACCGTCACGACCGTTAACCTATAAGGAGTAGTCAGAGGCATTATCAATAGTCGACCTCGTAGTGAACCTTACAATTAAAATGCTCACATTTCGCAGTATAGGAATACAACGTGGTAAGTGGCGACTTGGCGAGCCTACCGCCGTCACTCGAATTAATACCGTTTGTTGTCGATATTTAGTAAGTCTCAAATATAAATTGACACAAATTTTTTTCTACTATTAACCGATTTCAATCTGTATTAAAATCTAAGTATGGGTAGTAAAGTAATGTATTTCATATACAGTTTAACCTCTAAAAACAGGGATCACTGCCACAGCCATGTTAAGCCCCACACAGCATCACTGTGAACATTTGGAATAAGTGTACAGTAAAATGTACAGATATAAGATTATTCATATTATTAATAGATTAAATGGCATGCTGGAGACTATGCATGACTATGTATTACATACGCGGTTAGGTGTAAAAATATTATTACACTACCATTTCTAACAAAATGCCTCCAAATAATGAAATTAATATTTATACGCAGGTAAACGTTTTTAAAAGTGGAGGATCTATTTTCAATGACACAAACAGTAACTGGATTTGTCGTAGTCGTGTCAGTTCATCTGCATTTTTAAGGTTCAACAAAGAAAGTAAAATGAAACCGTCTATATATAACGTATCTATCTGTAACAGTGTTATCTTTTGGACATTATTAATACTGGCAATTTGAATTTTGGAATACTTATGTTCATTATATATTGTTAGATAATCAGAATAGGAACAAAAAGTATAAAAAAGTTGTCTTACATTATACTAACAGAAATTTAAAAATAATAATACTATCTTAATTACTAAAAATACTTTAATTTTAGTTATTTTACTATATTATAAATTCCGAACCCTGTAATGTCGAATTCCACTACTTGAATTTGGCAAATAATTGCATAATTCTGATGACCGCAAGAAGGCACTCTCTAAGTGTATTTTGTACTAGATTCCATAGATTTTTCAGAAATAGACAAAGTAAACACAGAAGCAATTATACAATTTAGCACAATTGTACTGTACGGCCGTAAGGTAAGAAATTGAGGCGAATGTTACGTTAATAGTAAATATAATAATGTATGGTTTTGATAAAAGTCATATTAGATCTCATATACTAGGATGGAATATCTTAATATAATAATAACTCTAAACAATTTACAGCTATTACGCTATTTAGTCCCATGGCAAACAAGGCTTGTGGTTTTGGTAGGACAACAGATAAAAATACTTTAAGTTTGGTTTTCACTTATTTTCAAATAAGCATAGGATTCAAGGGTCTGAGAGAAGCATTTATTCATATCCGTTTCTTTCCAATCCTCTTTAAAATATACGATATTTCAGTGAATATTGAAAATACGTCTGCGTTGATATTTACATCCTTATGTAATGTATGCTCCAGCTTTAATAAATCTGTCAGGACACATTACGCCACGGGAGATATGAGGAGTTACTAATATATAGTCATAAATGTCAATTTCTCTTTGAGGCTTCGCTACATTAGTATTACGCCACACCAAATTTAGGTATTTTACCCGCCGCCCCCCTCTCCTCTGTGTTATGGATGATAATGTATTGGCGGATCCGCCTGCGCTAATGGTTTACGCTGACGGAGCACCAGTGGAGGATATGAGGTCAAGTAAGTTAGCCCATCGTAAATTCACTATGACTTACTTACGATGGCTTCCAGGGCGAACACGTGGAGGTCAACCTGACATGGTACATTGCTAGCAATGGGGTTATTAGTCCATATTATTAACAATCCCCCTTCCTCCTCTCCCATGTCATAGCTGTTACAAAGAATAGTTAAAATTTCGTATTTTAGTACTAAACTTAAAATGTGTGGTTTGAAAAGCTAAGACCTGTCCTAATAGGTCGGGAGGAGTTCATTATTTTTTACGATGTCACACTTTATTGACCCCCTCCCTCCCTCATGTGACGTAATTACGGATGACCCATAGTGACAAGAATCGCGACGCCAGCGCAGCTTATACGCGACTTTCACAGAGCGCTTTATAAACTACTTTGAATGAGACACACACTGCTTCAGCCGCGATACGATAAATTAATGTGAAATTTATAGCCTATATGTTATTCTGATGTCTAAGTTATATTACTGTATAGTTTCATCAAAATCCGTTCAGTAGTTTTGCGTGAAAGAGTAATAAAATACTTACAAAGTTTCGTGTTTATAATATTCATTATGTTCTTATTTTACAACTTTGAAAAACTGCGGGAAAACATTGCCAAATTAGGCATGAATTTGATTGATATTAAAATATTTTATTTGATATGTATATTAAATTATTTTTTGATACTTCATTTGTTTGGCAATATCAATCTTATAATTTTTAATAATTTATAATATTTTATAAAAATTCAGCCAAGATTAATGTTATACTTTTTTACGTATTGCGTTAAACCATAGGGACCCAAAACATGGTACATACTTAGGTGATAACTTAAATTTTTTTTGGGAATTAATCATTTACCACTTACTTTCTTTATTGGGTCTTTTTTTATTTTCAATTTCCCCATAAATTTACCTCAAAAGCAAGAAGCTGTAAGAGCCGTAAAACGTAATAAATAAAATATAATTTTATAGTTTACAACTACAAACATCTCGCTGTCATCGTGCTGCAGTCCTGCACCGCACGGGTTTTATGAGGAAACCTTAAGATGTGAACGTCCTGTAACACGCGATATCTAAATATAGTGTTGTACTATTTCGGTGGACAACCGCCATCGCCATGTGGGTCGTGTATGTATCCGTATTGAATAATTTCATAGTGTTACCGAACGTACTGAAGTAAAATCAGCCGTATGACTGTGTAATAGAGTTGGATATATGAAAACTCACGTTCCGCACACAGAATTACTATTAACTCGTTAACATTAGTTTCGTACTTTGTTTTACTGCCGTACTTAAACTTCCTTAATTATATCTGTCTAAATCCAGGGGAAGGGGATTATTAGTAATATGGACTACGGGTCCCATTGCAGCAATATATATCTAATGGTATTACCATATATCGACCTCTTCGCGGTTCTCCTGGAAATCATCGTGGTCAATTTCTAGTTACTTTACCACGACCTGACTTTTTGCTCATACTATTGTATTCCACCGGTGTTGGCCTGCATATATCGGTAGAGAGGCGACCCTTTCATTTTCATGACTGGATAAGTAAGTGACTACTTTTATTTCTGCTTTCAAACTAAATACATAAAATAATAAATAATAAAAAAATACAAATAAATTATTTTATACAACTAAATATATTTGTATTAGTTATACATTATCTAGAAAAACTACCCACGTGAATAGGATATTTGTTAATGAAGACCATACTTATCAAATAGCGTATAGTTTATATCACATGTTCAACACACAGACAGGAAACTCGGTATGTGAATTATTGTTAAACATCAATCATATTTTTTTATTGAATGATGATGGAATGGTACTTCTACGTACGCTTAGGATAATGGTATACGCTGGCGGGGCATTAGTGGATAAATGTGGAATTAACTGCATCGAACTAGAAATAAACAAGGATAGTTTTCAGGGAGGACTGCGTGGTGATGAAGCTAATAGGTTTACAACAAGTGTGGTAACAATACATTATACATTAATACAGAGAAATAATCGAAGTCCTTACTTAAAACTTTCTGATAATTATGTTACATTAAAATTTATCTATTCGAAAATCATGGTTTTATTAACTGTTAATTCAACTAATACTAGGTATACGTTTGTTACGTATAAAATGGACGCGTTTTATAAAAATAAACATTAAAAAAAACCTTACTTCGTCATATATAAATCGGTTAAAACGATTTTGAGATTGAACAAATGTAGATAGGTAGGTATATAAATAGACGAAATTTCTGAAAACTGTTCTTTTATTTTAGTAACAGGAGTACCAGGTGTACAAAATTTATTTGAACTCGCGTATAATATATATGCGTCACACTTACTTAACATTTATCATTACAATATCTTTTTGCAAATTAAAGCCTATGTATTAGCTATATTACAGTCTCGTCAGTTTCGTCAAAATTCGTTCAATAGTTTTTGCGTGAAAGACTTACGTCCATCCATCAATCCTAACTCAGAAATTTTCGTGTTTATAATATCAGTAAGATATTCTGCACCTAAACCGAATGTTTACAATTGTATTATATGAATAATATCTTTCAGCGATGCATCCCTGAATTCGAAAACGCGGCATTCAACGTACTGATGGAAGCAACTAATACCTGCGGCGATAACGGGCCAATGGTATACTGCATTCAGACCTCGGCGGCTACATCCACGAGGTACACACACACACACTAAAGAAAATAAAATGTATATACGAAACAATTTCACTTAGTGGACTTTGTACAAAGTCATCTGTATGTACAGCAAAAACTTCTTCGTCATTTGTTTCTGCCGCCAAGCAGGCTGCATTTTCTTCTGAAGAATGTAGAGAAATTACAGGGTATAGAGATATCAGTCGACAGAAATGGCAAAGTATGAGGCGCACCAGGGGCGCTACGAGACAACGCGCTGTTAAAAAATTGCTTATTTTTAATTATAGTTTTCTATAGGACACGCATATACAATTTTATATTAATGTGTTGTACCTTATAGGTCTTGCGACTACTGCCACCAGGGTCAACTTACCAGCTACTATCTGACAGACCTTCACCACGATCAGAACAATCAAACGTGGTGGCAATCAGAGACAATGAAGGAGGGCATCCAGTACCCTAATCAAGTCAACTTGACGTTACATCTGGGTAAGATCAATGAATAATATTACGTTCTAATAAATCCATTTATAATACTAGGCTTTTTGATATATTATTGTAGGTACAGCTATAAATTTTACATTCCCTACCTGCAGCTTCGTCTGAACAAAATCGTATTCTCTCCCATTGCCCAACTAATTACTTTTTACTATTGGTAATTCGACAGTAAAATTACTTTCTATTATACAAGAAAAGTGATTACCAACGAAGAATATTGCGACATTTTCTCAAGGGAATATCACTTTAGCTGTCCTATTCTAGATTGATTATATAGATTACGACGGAACAAAAAGGTTATAGGCAACGTTTGGGTACACAATATCTATTAGTGCTTCGTTCAGATTTCTAACGTAGTAAAGAAATAAATAAGTAAAGAAGATGACTTCAGAAGACAACGACCCCAAACGCAATCTACCAGTCATATTCAGCGCTTATGCGCTCCTTATCGGCACTTGCCATCACATATCTAGGTCCTCATTTCCTTCCGCGTGTTGAGAGTGTCATATACATTCTCATTTTCGTCCAGTGAAGCTGTAAATGACATTTAAAGTGAACAGTTCTATTATAGAATAGTTCGAGGAAAAAGAAATAGAACAATTACAATAAAAAGAAATTTACACTAGAGATAAAAGGGAATGCTAGAAAAAAGACAGTCAATGATTTGACTATCTTTTTTCAGTCAATCAAATTAAACTTGGTGTAAATCATTAATATTCTGCAGTCACCATACTAATATTATTATCACGCAAGCAGTGCAATCCAATAATAATATCGGTTTATGCGATACAGTAGAAACGCGGCGTGCTGCAGTATTCGAATATGCATATGTATGTATGTATTTTGTGGTATGTGGTTAATGGTTGCATTATTACTAGTATTATATTATCAGTGCTAGTACCTATGTTAATTAAATGCCTAATCACACCACAGCACCGTCATATTCCAATAGATTTGTTTTGGAGCTAAATTTCCAACACAATTTGAAGTTCTATTGGCTTTTTTCGAATTATTATATTCTAAATAGCTGTAACTGGACTGGTACATCGGACGAATTCCGGATGTGAGCATATTCTTCTTACTAACATAAAATTTTTGTATGGTGTACAGGTAAGGCGTATGATATAACTTACGTCAAAATCGTGTTCTACTCTCCAAGGCCACAGAGCTTTGCTATTTATAAGAAAACCAGCGAGGAGAAGGATTGGGATCCCTTCCAATATTTCAGGTAAATTCTCCATAATAGTACATTGTATTACCGGTAATATCGTTCATTGATACAAGGTAGCAAATAGTTTTGTCATTTATATTTTTTTATAAATATATGAATTTGGAGACAAAACATGTCTGAACTATATACAATATATATTTTCCACAATTAAAGTGGGATACTGCAATGGAATTACGGGGTACGTGAAGGTTATTACCATATGGAAGGTTTATTATATATACCATTTCTGTTTAGCGCATTAACAACTAAATCACTACAACAAACTTGTCAGATATAAGGGCGTCGTACATTGCTGACTCAATGAATCCTATGAGTGCAGTGGACTTGCTGACTATGAATTTGATTATCACTTCACTTCTCCACTTATGGCGACATAAAAAAATTACGAAACTATAATCATAACCAAATTAATTACAAAGATAAAACAGTAACATACTTTCCTTCTTTGCCAGTGCTTCTTGCCGTGATACCTATGGAGTACTAGAACAAAGATCGGCTGACTTAGGTGCCGAAACAAGAGCACTCTGTACCAGCGAATACTCTGATATATCGCCCCTTTCTGGCGGGAACGTGCTTTTTTCGACTCTCGAGGGACGTCCTTCCGCGTTTACGTTCGACAGCAGTCCAGAGTTACAGGTACAACTACATTTATAAAATGAAGTGTTTAATAAATATAGTAATTGTGAGACGTCGGTAATATAACAGCATTGACATAGTCTAGAATAATTTAGGATATTTAATGATAATATAGTAATATACATTATCAATTATATTATTATTATTATTTATATTTAATATATATATATATATTATCATAAAGTTTAATTAAATACCACTTTACAATAACTTCCTTAGCTAAAATGTAAGTACCATGCCTGAGTAAACAAAGGAAAATGCTGTGTACGGGTAATATATTGAAACAATGTACGATCTAGCTAAGATATATCCAGGTTTATACAGATTTCAGGTAAATTAAATTTAACTTACATAAATCATTACTTCCTTTGTCATTACAATCATTTATTGCAATGACAAAGGAATTAAGTTCTCAAGTAAGTAAGTCTCTAAGTCAATGAAATTGAGAAAGAGTTTAAACAAATTAATTTGTATATGTAACTTAGTTTCTACTATAATTACATCAACAACAAAACAGTTTGTTTATAACACAGCAAGTTAGGTATCGAATGGCAAGACAGGCGAGATATTGGAGTACAATCACTGCGTATGCAAACATATGTGTGGGTACATATACCTATATTAGTTCCTCGGAAAGAGGAGTACAGTTTGATCCCTGATGTATATTATATTGTAGGTATATATTTATATGCGACTATACGTTACCACGTTCGTCTGATTTTATTTAAAAAAATATTCTAATCTTCGCTCTCGTAATATAATTAGTATTATTAGTAATTATTATTATTAGTTTCGTCAAATTTCATTAATGTCTATTTAGTGATGAAATAGTAATAAACAGTTGAAGACAGTCGCCGTGGCCGAAATCGGCCGGGATTACATCATCATCAGTAAAACAGACAGGCACCTTTATATATATAGAATTAAAGAGCTAGTTCACTGTTTGTTATAGCTTCAATGGTTTTGCAGTTTATAGCTTTAATTTCAATGGAACATAAATAAATTCTTGATCGTATCAGGAATGGGTGACAGCAACAGATCTGCGTATTTCTTTGGACCGCCTGAACACCTTTGGCGATGAGATCTTCGAAGATATACAAGTACTGCAGTCGTACTGGTACGCCATTGCTGACGTCAATGTCGGAGCTAGATGTAAATGTAATGGGCACGCGTCAATATGCGATACCAATGAATACCCTGATGGTACCAAGACGAGGGCTTGCAGGTAATGTATATTTAATAAACTTGTCTTAAGTTTGTGGACGTTATTTAAGAATTAAATTAATTAATATAGGCCTCACTGTTTTGTCTATTGTATAGCGGTTTTGCACACCACCTTACTTCCAATGGTCGCGGGTTCGATTCCTCGCACGACATAAACATTTTATTCATGAGTTTGTATGTGTCTGGGTTTTCTATGTATAATGTGTATGTTTTCTTTTTGTGTATGATAATGAAATGGTACACCCGCCTGCGCTAACGGTTTACGCTGGCGGTGCACCAGTGGAGGATAATAAGATGAGCATGAGGTCAGGTCAGTTAGCCTATCGTGACAAATTCACTAGGAATGTATGACGTTGGTTACTAGGAGGACCCGCGTGGAGGTCAGTGTATTGACAAAAAAAATATAACTATGTATTTGTATCAGTTGTCTAGTACCCATAACACAAGCATTAGCTAGCTTAACTTGGGTCTACATGGTGAATTGTCCTTAGATTATGATTATACTCTTAGGTTCAAATCTCGACTGTTACATACATTTGTATTAATACAAATGTATTCGTTTTACTAACAAGAAGTATTTAATTAACTTTGACTTCTTATACTTTTTTTAACTAAGGACACACAATCTTTGTCGTCAGGATACAATATATAATTAGAGAGATTCGTTCAGTGTTTTAGTCGTGAAAATCAAACAGATAGATACTTTCGAATTTATATTAGTATAGATGTAAACTTGCTACATAAACATTTTATTTTTTCGGAGTACTCTAATGCTGTTGGCCGTAGCTGGCCTTTATAGCTTGACCGGACGATAGACGGCGAGTGCAGAAAGCACTCCAAACCCGCGTAAGGACTTATAGAGCGGGTGAAGGCCTCTCAACTTCCGCCTGACGGATACGACTTTAGTCTAAGGGCACCCCCGCTAGGGGTTCGAACCTCGGCTCAAGCCGTCGTAATTTCGATCCCCGTTTGAATTGGACGGGGGATCGATCGGAGGGGACACTTCATAAATTAATAGTTATTATTTTATATATAGATGTGAACATAATACAGCGGGTCGTGAGTGTGAGAGGTGCTTGGACTTCTACAATGACGCGCCCTGGGGCCGTGCATCATCCACTAATGTACACGAATGCAAAGGTTGGTATAGAAATTAATTTTTTAGCAATCGCGAAGTACGCAAAGGCAATTTCGTCTTCTGATTTGTCATGCATCATCGTTAGTGGTCCTCTATTAATGACGTGATATTTTTTTAACCCCCCATTGGTGAGACGTAGTGAGGCTTAGGACAACACCACCTTTTTAGTGCCTACAAAAAATCTTACACTTTTTAGAATATTATCTTTAAATACAAGATAAACTACAATAACTAAACTAAACTACAAAAACAACTTGCAATAATCTAGACATTTTTAACATGGTCCATAATTTTAGAGTAAAAGAAAATAATCTTTTACTCTAAAATTATGGACCATGTTAAAAATGTCTGCCATTTATGCCAAGTATGCCCTAAAAATAAATAAATACTTGATATCACATGTATTTATTTACGACATTGTTTATTTTTGTCAACCCACCTTTCGAGCCTCACGTGATTAATGGACAATCCTTTATATGATGTTTGTACAAAATTTGTATGTTTTGTTCTCACAATAATAGGCCTTTGAGGCCTAAATAAATTATTTGACCTCTAGATAGAGCCTAATTAAATGATTTGTCTATTTAGGCAAATAAAAAAATATTAATTGCCTCAATAGACAAATAATTTGATGATTTTTATATTAAACTAGCTGTGCCCGCGTCTTCTTCTACGTGAAATATTGACCTTGACCAAATAAATTATTTCATAATCTAACCTAAGAAAAAACTTTCATCGTTCTAGCAACAAAAATGACGATATTTCCATACAGTCTTTCATCTCATCTTTCAACTCCTTACAACACTTTTTTCGCCTGTATCTGGCCTGGCCTGGATCAGTAGTTTTGGCATGAAAGCGAGACATAACAGAGTTACTTTCGCATTTGTAATATTTGTAAGGATAAGGATAAATAAATTAGGTATATAGGCTGATATTAAATTGTGAGGATCTTGCACAGAAAAATCTGATTACACGATAAAAAATAGAATGTCGTGTCTGTACTGACATTTTATTTCAAACAAACCATATCCTGTAAATGTATCTAAATAGTTCTTATAAATAACTTATGAAAAATCTATTGTTACACAGTGTGAAAGTACACAGTAAATAAAGATTAATATTCAAGAAATTTTTGTTAATAATTTATTGTTATCAATACATTAAATTCCTGTATTAACGTTAAATAGGTACTACTGTAATTAACAGTATGCCCTGTTGTAGAAAATGTAAATTTAGTACCATATACAATATAATTGATTAAATCAATAATCTTCCAATTAGTATAAATAAATAAAATATGTACATATATATATTATACATACTATGCATATATATATATATATATATATATATATATATATAATTGATCGGTATTGCTGTCTATCAATCATATTTCAAACAATTGAAAACGGACATTTTTTTGGCAAGCGATCTCAAAACACTGACGATCTCAATTTTCAATTCCACAATTTTATGTGTGGGTGTCACGTGATAGCATAGTTATTTTGATAGTTGCAATTATATGATTTTTTCAATAATTGTTAAATTTCCTTCCCGTGTTGATGACACATAAAACTACATTATCACTATTCAAATTTAATAAACATATTACAACTAAGAGTATCTAAAAAATAATATGTTGATGTCTTCATTTGAATACTTCTAGATATAAAACATTTGACCTTTATGGTATCTGTCATAAAATCAGGCCATTCGGGAGTCGGCATTTGTTTATGTATGTGTATTATTTATAAGACACTTATTTATTTATTAATATTTAGGTAGGTACCTTTCTGTCTAGGATGACGTTCACCGGAAAAAAGCATCATCTTGTAATTAATTTGGCATCGCTATTGTATTCTGCAGATTCAATCGTTGAATAAAAAAAATATACTGTCCCGTTAGAAGAATTATTAAAGCTAAATTTAAGAGTAGTACTTTAAGCTAAATATTTGAAAATATTTGTTACTAGCTGTGCCCGCGATTTTAACCTAGTGAAATTTATAGCCTATATATTATTCTGATATATAAGCTATATTGCTGTACAGTTCCATCAAAATCCGTTCAGTAGTTTTTCCATGAAAGAGTAACCAACCATCCATACTCACACTTTCGCGTTTATAATATAAAATATTATCTAATAATAACTAACTTATAATTACATGTCTCTAAAAAAGAAACTTATTGTTAACGAGGTTGTCGTATTTTTTTAAATCATAAAGAGGACGGATTCTTCTCATATTGTGACGGTTAAGATTGTATCCAGAGCCGTAAAACATAGCCGCGCGGAGTCATTTCAAAATTCGATTTTGTACGGATATGGGATAGAACTTCACTATTTACGCCTATAACGTACCCATATTTTATGAGCTGCTTTATATATCAAAAACAAGTAAAATTTGATACCCTTTAGGTAATTTTAGTAAATGAAATATAACGAGTTTAAACGGAATAAATTTGACGTCCATTAATAAGTTACAACATTTTAATTGTTCTAACAAGGATTTAATTTCGTCATATCTGTTCTTCTTAATAAAACAGGGTATAACATTCGGTCACTGATCCGTAATTTATAGCTTTATTACGCAGCTTAAATGTCAAAAATAATGTTACGGTGTTACGCCATGTAATAAAATCGACATACTTGGCATTTACTTCCTGAAATTTTATGCTCAATTATCAACGCAATAACATAAATATTCTATTCGCTTTGAGTACAATTTACAGCAGTCAATTTTGTTTTCTGATCTTAATCAAGAAATCGAATAAACAAATAAACAACATTACTTATTTGAAATAAAATCACGAATTCAATGTAAAAATACATTAAAGTTAATATTCATGCGTTATTCATATTATAATGGTACTAATAGTAAGTAATAATAATAATTTTTACGATTTACCATCATTACTATAACCACAGTTATGAGAATACTATAACTATATAATATATTTATTTATTACTACTACTATAAAGATACTGTTCGATTTTATATAGCACAGCGATTTGTAAATTACAGGAGTTAACCTTAACCATTTTACCCAAAAATGATTTACTAATCGTGTTTTAATAGAAACGAGATATCAATTCTAAGCTCAGGCCCCAAGAACCTGGGTGTAGAACTGAATATTCGAAAACTGTAAACTTTTCCGGCAGCTTGCAACTGCAATGGTTTCTCCGACAAGTGCTACTTCGATAAAGACCTGTACGAACAGTCCGGCCACGGTGGGCACTGCATTGACTGCGCCGAGAACAGAGATGGCCCCAACTGCGAGAGATGCAGAGAAAATTACTATCAAGGAGAAAGGGAGATATGCCTTCCGTGTAATTGTAATCCTACTGGTAAGTACATTGTGCGGAATAAATACAAAGAGTCGTCTGACACGTCATCATACGTCTTTCATATTTAATTAATTATACGTATACAAATCTAATCTTTCTTTGATTCAACCCAGTACTACGTATTCATAAGACTTCTTTACAATTAGGAACGTAAGACATTGCTAATCTATATATAGATTCTTTATGAATACTTATTTATCTTCTGTATTTATACATACCTACTATGGTTTATCTGCCGTGAATTTTATTTAAACTGATGGTAAAAGATTTTTAATATACATACTATACAGGACCTTTGTAATAAATATATTGAAATTATAATTTTAAATTTAGATAAAATTTTAAATTTAAATTTAACTTCAAATGTTTTATATACATTTTAATAGTATCTAATAAAAAGTTAAATAGTAGTATATAAGTTTATAGAGATACAACAATTTGATATTACATTCGATGAAATAGTAACAAAGTTTACCGAATAATTTTAGGATCGCGAAGTCTCCAATGCAATGCCCAAGGCAAATGTCCATGCAAACCTGGAGTGACAGGAGACAAGTGCGACGTGTGTTCTCCAAATCATTACGAATTTACCAACCAAGGCTGCAAGCCGTGCGGGTGTAACGAATCTGGTTCTTTCGAAAACAAACCACAATGTGACCCTGTCAGCGGAATTTGTCTCTGCAAGCAGAATGTGGAGGGCAGACGTTGTAGAGAGTAAGTAATTACATAGAGTTGTATATAGAGAGGAGGTAGGAATGAAAGACTGTACAAATTAGACTGTGTGGGTACCTTGTTACATTTAATAACAGGATAGCAATTGGGTTTGAAAGCTGTGAGATATGGTAGTGGAATTATAGGGTCTGGAGGCGATATATCTTAGTATTCAGAAATGGGAATACATAAATTGGTCACGTATTTTTTTAATCTTCGCAATATATTTTAAACTGTTAATGGTTACATACTGACGAAATTGTCTTTAAGACTCTTTAGGCCAATGTGCCTGTAGAGAATGGTATATTAGAAAATAACAGTATAATTAGCACTAAGACTACTAAATACGGTGAATTGACAAAAAATGTGGTAAATCTTAGACATTACCATGTCTTCTGTGCTTAAAAAGACAACATCTAAGATTAAGTATACAGAAATTTAGATAATCACTAAGTATTATATTTGTACAGAATGTAAGAATCTTGAGCATTAAATTTAGAACCTAAAATTGACAGTACTATAACTATTGTGAAATTAATTTCAGATGCAAACCAGGCTTCTTCAATTTGGACATCGACAACGAGTTTGGGTGTACACCATGTTTCTGCTTTGGGCATTCGTCTCAGTGTAGTTCAGCTCCGAAATACCAAGCTCATGAAATTAATGCACGCTTCATAAGAGACGCAGAAAAATGGACAGCTGAAAACGATCAGCATCACCCAATCGCTCTTCAGTTTAATGCTAATACACAGAACATAGGTTGGTAATGTAATTGTGTTTGTGGAAACTACGCAACTCACACGGTTTATAGTCTACTTTTTCTATAATCGCCATACAAGATTTGCATTTACCTAAACCTAATAAAAATATTAGTAAAACTGTACTGTGTATATAGAGGCGGATATACATATATGGATACATAATCCGGAATTAAAGAATTATATTATAATACAACGTGTAACTTAATTTGAAACGTATGTAAAATAAAAGAATCCCTTTATTTTATCCCTATATTTGTACTTCACCCATAATTCTAATTCTAGCTGTAACATCGCGAGGATCGGAGATTGGCTATTTCATAGCATCGAACCAGTTCCTCGGAGATCAACGACCTTCCTATAACCACGATCTAAAGTTCACACTACGTTTGGGCGAAAGCAATGCCTATCCGTCATCCCAAGACATTATACTGGAGGGCTCCCGTGCTTCTATTTTTATGAATATTTATGGACAAAACAATCCTGAACCATCTGATCAGGTATGTAGGTTTTCCGCAGATTCCACATCTGTCTGCTCATGCGATTGATGCAATGCGATTGTTGTATGTTGACTTATCCAACTGTGTCTTTAGAATCTACTGTTTATTGTTGCAGCCTCAAGAATACACCTTCAGGCTTCACGAAGATCCACGTTACGGCTGGACACCTACTCTGTCAAACTTCGAATTCATGTCCATCCTTCAGAATTTAACTTCAATAAAGATTAGAGGAACATACAATAAAGGCGGGATAGGGTATTTGATGAACTTCAAGTTGGAGACTGCGAAGGCTGGTCGAGAGAGGGGTTCAGCGCCGGCCAATTGGGTAGAGAAGTGTACCTGCCCTGGTGCCTACGTGGGTGATTATTGTGAAGAGTGCGCGCCAGGGTTTAAACACGAACCCGCTAACGGAGGCCCCTATTCCACCTGCATACCTTGCGACTGTAATGGACATGCGCATATTTGCGACACTGCTACTGGTAAGGGAAACTATATGTCGTTATATTGAAATTTTGAATATTGATGTAACACAGATTTGTACAACTTGGAATATAATAAGAGTGATTAAATGAGATCGAATAAATATAAGACAGTTCATAACGACTGAAATAAATCCAAAAATATAATTAAATACAATTACCCTCATATACCTACCTACCCTTCTTACTTCCTTTTTTGTATTTACATTCCTTTCTTTTACATATTTCCTTTATAAAATTGATAATAAATATATGTAACTTTACTTAGGTTTCTGTATCTGCAAACACAATACGACGGGCAGCAACTGCGAACTCTGTGCCAAAGGTTTCTACGGCAACGCCATAACTGGTACCCAGGATGATTGCAAGGTCTGCCCATGTCCAAAAGACAGTGGTTGTCTTCAACTAGTGGATGGTAGCATTGTCTGTACAGATTGTCCAACTGGATATGCTGGTGAGTTCTACTTAAAACCGACTCTAATATAGTCCAGCAGTCTATTTTATACTTTTTTGCAGAGCAAAATAGTATAAAATAGACAGAAATCCTTAAAATAATAATTAATCAAAACATATACTAACAAAAAAAAAACAGTTGGCTAAGAGTAAATAAAAATACGGTCTAATATAATCGATAACCTATTACGTACAGAAGTCAACTTTAGAAAAGAGATCATTTTTATTTTGAAAATTGTATCTAAAACCTTTATTGATAATAATAATAACCCCGGGCAATTTACATAGCGCCATTTAGATTGAAGCAAGGCAGAGAGTTCTGGATACTAGATAAATGATAAACACATTTTTTTTGTAAATATATACATAATATACACAGATAACACCCACTCCGATACAAAAAATCGTACTCATAAATAAAATTTGTATCGTACGAGGAATCGAACCAGCGACCATCGGACTCAAGCGATATACTAAACCGCTAAACCACCGAGCCGCCAAACATTTATAATGTTTATGTGTTTACAATGTTTTAATGAACTACAGGGCCGAGGTGTGAGGTTTGTGCTGACGGTCACTTCGGCGATCCTACCGGTCAGTTCGGTGCACCACAAGAATGCGGGGAATGTCAATGTAACGGCAATGTGGACCCCAATGCAGTCGGCAACTGCAATAGAACAACGGGAGAATGTCTCAAATGTATTTACAATACTGCTGGAGCGCACTGTGATAAGTGCTTGAGTGGTAAGTTTTCTGACCAACTAGAAAATAAATACTAATCCACATAATCAGTAATAAGTATAGATTACTTGCTATAATTATGACGTAATAGCTATTTATTGCGTGTGTCAGAATAGTAAATTTTAATAGAGTGTTGATATCCTTTTCACTACTAGAATCCCGTATTGGCTCAATTAAATTCACTTCATATTTTAAACATTAAGTATTATTGAAAAAATATATTGTGCTAAATTTAGTTAACAGAACATTGTGGTGGTGCTACATTTGTCATATGGTCATCTAAAATTCAGCTTATTATGTTTACACAAAATAGATATTCCGTTAAGTGCTTTGATTATATAAAATAGAATAATTATTACTTTATCGTATTTATATTATAGGTTATTTCGGAGATGCCCTCGACCCGGAAGAGAAGGGTGATTGTAAGCCATGTCAATGCCATGAAGCGGGCACATTGGAAAGTCCTGAAGGCCCGCCGTTGTGCGACGGCTTGACTGGTTACTGCTCTTGCCGTCCACACGTCATAGGGAGAAATTGCGACAAATGTGAGGTGAGTAATTGAAACTCAACTAGTTACAGAATATAGGGCTAAGATTTATTCATTAACGCATGAACTAGATGGTCGCCAAAAATATAAAAGCAATAATAATGTCCTAAATAGATATATTGACAAAGTCTCCATAAACTTTTGTAATGTTAAGCAATAATGATCATTCAATTCTGTTTATTGGAGGTCGCGACCTCGAGGTCATTGAATGTCGTTGCTAGTATTTATAATTCTTCATCAAATTTTGAAATCTTTTATACGTACAATCAACAGGATGGATATTATAATATCAACTCGGGCGAGGGTTGCAAGCCATGTGAATGCAATCTGGACGGTTCGTACAACTCGACTTGTGATCCAATCACCGGCCAATGTTACTGCAAGCCCGGTGTCATTGAGTAAGTTCGTTTTACGATACTAATAGAATAAACAGGCCAGTTAACGACCCGCCTAATGGAATTTATGAATCGTTGGTTACAATGAAAAAAAGTTTACAAAATAAATCACAGTTCACACCGCAGCATGATCATAGACAGAAATTATTTCGTACCTACCTATTATTCTTATAACTCTTTACGTTAAGATTAATTTCATATTTCTACAACAGTTTCGAAATTTCCGAAAACAGTGGTAATTTGTTTAGTGGGCTATCATGAAATACGAAACTTGTGCATTTCGCATTTCACACCATCGATTAAAATACTTTCTATTAGGCGAAACACCAGCTTGCTCTGTATGTTATTGATATTTTTATGAATAAACGCTTACATAATTTTTCATATATAATTGTGAAGTAGCAGTTACTACGCCGAGTGGTACAGTAACGAATCACAACTTCCAAAAAGACAAATAGTACATAAGGTCATATTTTTATACGATTTTTTCTGTTATCTGAGTTAGACTGTTATATTGTTACCTGATTTCACAGTAAGCATTGCGATCGTTGTCGATCCTACCACTACGGATTCTCCACTGAAGGTTGCAAAAACTGCGACTGCGACAACTGGGGCTCCACGGACTACCAGTGCAACATGTCTGGCCAGTGCTCTTGCCAGGAAAATGTTGAAGGGCGCCGTTGTGATAGGTCTGTATAAAACACAATCATATTTAACAGTTTATGTGAGTTTATGGTACTCATTAATCAATTATATTATCATTATTTGATGCCTCTGTGGTCTACCGGTTTAGCACATCGCCTTACTAATGATACTAGACGATTCCTAGCCCGATAACATTTGTATTTATGAGTCTGATTGTTTGTATCGGTCTGGATTTTCTGTTTATATAACAAAATGTATTTATATCAGTCTACTATATAGTAAGCTTGGGGCGAGATGGCGCTGTCTGAATTGTCCTGAAAATACATAGCTAGACGATAATATGTCTCGTTATGGTCTACCTATAAAAGAAAACGAAACTAGATAATATTTTTCGCAATTTCTTAAGCGCATAAAAAATTATATATACCTTAATAATCGATTGGATTTGAAGTGTAACGGGTCTGATTTATTATTGGCATATTTTGTTTCATTAAAAAGTCGTTGTCTAGCCAATTTCTAGTGATCCATTTTAGCTATTAGTTAGCTAGCTATCCTATCCATGCTACGATTGACCCACAATTATATCTTATAATAATTTCATCTTATAATTGCAATTATTACGCGCCAGGTGCATGGAAAATAAACAGAGGCGAGCAGATGGACAAGGATGTGAAGATTGTCCTCCATGTTACAACTTAGTGTTGGATGCCGTCAATGATCATAGACGCGAGCTAAAGGATTTAGATGAAGTAAGTTTGTCGCTCATATAATCTGTCTATGGGTGTAATCGGGGACCCCACGAAGAAACGAATTCTAACAAGAATTTTACAGTCCAACTTAAAAAGTCTGCTATTTTATTCCTCTAATTAATTATTATATAAATGACACAAGATTTACCTCACAAAATAGAAACAAAAATCTGTACAGGACTGGGCAAACATACATAAATAAATGTTTGTAATGTGTGTTTATATGTTTAAGTTCTTGATGAATATCGTATAGTATTTTAGGAAAGTCTTGATAGAATATTCCACAGTGTGAACGTTTAAGAGTGGATTTACCAATTAGCAAATATCACGACAAAACAAAAAAAAATCTATGTATTTAAGTCAGTCGTCTAGTACCCATAAGGCAAACTCTGGTTAGGTTGGGACTAGATGACGCTGTGTGAGTTGTTGAGATATTATTCTTTTTAAAGTTTCTCGGAAATATTTGATATTTTTATTTATATTTACGGGTCATACTAATTATTATTACTATATATACATTATCATAAAAGGAAAACTGTATGATAATATAATATGGCAATTATATTAAATACAGATATTAGCGAAAATATCCAAAGCGCCTACAGTAGTCGAAAATGCTGACTTTGACATCGAATTGAAACGCGTGAGGGCTGAGATAGAACAGCTGGTACAGGACGCTAAAGCAGAGGCTGGTGGCGGTGGGGGTACCAGTTTGACGGACCAACTCTCTGATCTCGCCAACCGACTTGCTGACGTCAGGTATACCATTTCTTTTAATTAGGTTCTTTTTTCATTTTTGCTGATTTCCACTACTCTACAGGCAGCTAGTATATGTATGCGTTTGAACATATTGTTTGAAATAGAGGGTGGGTAGTGGGCAGAGTGTGGGTAATATAAAATAAACTTGAAGTTTAATGTAGTAATAATGGAGAAGAGAGAAAATACGGGATACACGAACGTATTTACTACATGTAAGAGACATAGACATATTACTAAACCTATCTGCCAATGTAAGTTACATTGGCAGATAGGTTTAGTAATAGAGTGTGTACATATTATACTTTTTAACATTAGGACTATCAATTATAGAAACTTTAGTTTATTATGAATCAATCTAGAAAGATTGATACCTACGATTAAATCAACATATTAATTAGATGTTATTATATTTTTTTTAATATGTTAATTCAGGAACATGTTATTGAAGACTGAACATCAACGGTACGATGGCAGCGAAGCGGTCGAGAACAGCAAACCTAACTTACTAAAAGCTCAAGAAACTATTAAAGCAGCTCAAAAGGAAATTGAGGTAAAATCGGAAAAATCTTCAGTCATAGGTTCTATACAGATTAGAAATGATATATATTTTAATAATTTCTGATATAGTCCAATAGTGAAATTATTTTAAATTCTCGATTTGTCAATAATATTGTTAACAGTAACATATATTTTGTTAGACAGTATTAATGATGTAATTTGTTGTTGTAATAAAATGAAGATCTTCATTGTAAAGCGAGACAAAAATAATATAAGTAATATTAAACACCCGTATTTTTTCTTTTCCAGGACGCAATCCAATATTTAGCAGGTGAAGGCGCTGAAGCATTGAAGAAAGCTCGGGAGAGATCTGATCAGTTCGGTAAACAACATGGCGAAATGTCCAAATTGGCAAAAGAATCGCGTCTCCAAGTCGAGAAACTGGAGAACGAGGCAAAAAATATAAGGGAAATAGCAGAAAAAGCTTTTAATACATCATTATCTGCTAATAAGATTGCAAAAGATAGTATCAATAAGCAGGCTAATATCAGGTAATAATGTAAACGAAATACTGAAGTGGCTTAATAAAAAAAACTACTGCTTTTCTAGTTAAACTTTTATAGAAAAAAAACATTTTTGTAACCTTAACTGTTTATATTACTCCCCGACTTTGTTTGTCGAATCCAACCATTGCAAAATTAAAACAATATAATCAAATATATTTGATGAAATAGTAAAAACCTCAGTCACAAGCGGCATCACATAATATATTTTTAAAAAAATCTTTCCAGTAACGAAATTCAAATGTTTCCAAACGAATTGAACGTAGCCTCCAGTAAATTGGGCACAATGAAGGACTTGGCTGACCAAGCCTTGAATAAATCTAAGTCCGTATACGACGAAGCTGTAAGCTTATTCACTAACGTCAATGTTACATTTTTATCCGACATCAATCTAAAGAAATTACGTCAAGAAGCTGTAGCGATGAACAAAACGGTAAGTAATGGGATGGACTAGTTCAGTTTTAAACTTATTTTTCAGCTTCTGCTTCAATTCATGACCAGGTTATTTTAGGAATTAATAAATTTTTATAAGCAAAATTTGAAATATTCATTATTTCATTTATTTATATATTTATTTTATTTTTAATATTTCTATTACCTACATAAAAATTGGAGATGGAATTTAATTTTGCAGAGTTTGTTATTTGATTTTGAGAGCAAGATATGAGCTTGTAAAAAAATAATGCAACCTTATGAAATATTAGCGCTTCTAGTGTGCAATTTTACATATTATTTTATGTGTACGTATTATTTTCGTAGATTAATGATAGATTTTCGGACTACGAACAACTTGAGGACCAGAGTAAAAATACTCGCCAAAATTTGATCGAAGCTACCAGTAAGGGGAAGCAGCTTTTAGACGACGGTCATAAAAGTCAAGACGAGTTGAACGATCTTTTAGCGAAGCTGGATGAACTACGGGAAGAGGCTAGAGATAACGTCAACTCCACAAACACGACATTGAAAGACGCTAAAGAAATTTATAAAACCTTGAAGGGTATGTACTACGTTTAACAAGTTCATACGTTTGCGTTTATATATGTATCTGGCTTTGTAGGATATAAAATTTATAGCCCATCTGTGGGAAGATCTCACCCAGAGACCACATAAAACACAGTGATTGTCTTCGTTCTAAATAGTAAATACATCTAATATTACTAATATATTAAATTTCTTGTTTTATATACTATTTGAACTACCGCAAACCTTTTACTTATTATTACTTTACGAAATTGTTAAAGAATTCAGTGACCAAGTGAAAGACTCCCGCATGGAGGCGTCGCGGGCTGTTCAAGACATACCATCGATACAGGAGAAATTGGTCGCAGCAGAGGATAACATCAATATGATTACTGATGACCTCATTACGGCAAGCGACAAAGCTAGAGATGCCAGGGACTTAGCTCTTAAGGCCCAGAAGGAATACGCTGATAAGGCCTCTGAGGTAACATGCGCCCATAATGTATACCCGTCAAATTATTGTTTATCTAAACTTGTCTCATTCTTTGAAATTAAAGTATCTTTATAGTACACTTGTTGTATATATGTATTGTTGTTATATTTTAGGAGGCGCATAATGTTAAAAATAAAGCATCCAGAGCTAAAACGGAGGCAATTAAACTAAGGGATGAGGCAGATAAATTATCTAGTAAGTACTTTATGGTAACTACATAAAATTGGCGCAGGAGTTCAGTGTATGAACGCCGTGGCTGGAACGGCTAGGAATGAATATTGTAATATATTTTATTCATACTGCAATAAAATATATTACAATGTTCACGGGGAAACGATGTTTTCGTATGATAACTAGGAATAAGTCAGCCCACGTTCTAAAAAATGTTAGATTATGCGGTTTTTTGTGACGATATATGGACAATTTAATGTACAACAGTAATCATGACGGTAATGATTATACGAATAAATCATTACCGTCATTTTTTAGTTTTTAGTTCTACATCGTTTTTATCTGAACATCCCGTTTACATTAAATTTTCATTTTAATTTATTCTAGAATTTCAAACATATTAACACATCTTGAACAGACGAAAGAATTAGGATACACCAGTCTGGCAGGACTATTTACTTAATAGTATATAAATCAATAAAATTTATGTAACCGTCTCTATTTTAAGCTCGAGTGAAAGGCACAGAAACCCAAATTAAATCCCTGGAGCTACAGGCGAATGAGAGCATGCAGTTGACAGAAGACGCTAAGAAAAAGGTGAGTATTCATATTCTTATTAATTAAATCAATAATAACTTGGATTATTTTATAAAATTTATAATGCTACATGTATATTACTTGTGTGTCTATTACTTGTTACCTGTAAAGATTTGGCTAATTACATATTCTTTGTCAATTTTTTATGTAATTAGAATACAGCCGTCTTTTACATACATAAACAGATTTTTTTTATGTTTTTAGAATATTTTCTAATACAATTTTTTGTTTAAACTATATAGGTGGGACTGGCGAAAACTGATACTCGCGAGGCTGAGAGACAAGTCCTAAAGGGTCTCGAGGATTTGCAGGCTATAAAGAACGAATTGGCAAATCTTCTTGACTTGGATGATAATGCACTGGACAATCTCGGTAAGTAGCGTTTTTTCATTACTATATACTGTGTATGTAATAGTATATCTGAACAATACAATGATAATTATATACAATCCATTAATAATAATAATAACCTAGGACAATCCACACAGCGCCATCTAGTCTGAGCTGATGTTATAGGTACTAAACAACTTTTTAAAATGCATGCATAATATAATTTGTTTGTAAACACTCAGACCAATACAAACAGTCATACTCAGGAATACAAATGTTTGTAAGCTGAGGAATGGAACTTGAGACCATAGGAATTACTGTGGTGAATCGTTTTATTTTACTCGCTTGCGATACACCAGTGGAGGATGTCCTATCGTGGTGATGATCAGGAATGTATTATGATTGTTTCCAAGTTTCCAGGATGGCCTGGTGGCCAACAAATCGGAAAGTGGCGCAGTTGACATCACTCCGCGTCATTACAGAAATAAGAAATATCTTTCACGCTTTAATGTAATTACGATTTGTCAGATTGGTTTATTTCTCATTTACAGAGAAAAGCTTGGACGAGGTAGAAGAGAAATTGAAGGCGGAAAATCTGGCAGATAAGATTAAGTCCCTCGAACAGGCCAAGACTAACTATCGCGGGTGCGTAACATATTATTTTGTAAAAGATAATACTAACTCGATTCTGTCAGCCACACCAATGACTTGACGTCTCAAATACCTTGTAGTATAGGGGACTACAGAACTAACCGCCTTTGAGTATAAACACTTTTTAAAGAAAAACCACTTTTTAGAAACTAGTCTTCCTAATTTATTGTTCAGAAATTGCCATATTGTTTATGGCGTAGTAATAATATATATATCTTAAAAAGTGACATGGATTCCTATATAACACCATGGACATCGGAGAGTCCTTTTGGAGAATTAATTAATAATCAAGCATTTCTAAAAATAAAGTATTTTTTAAGTGCATACCGGGTGAAGGATAGTCAACTAGAATAATAATTCAAATATTTTATTTTATTAGATGGATGAAGCAGTACCAAGCCGAATGTGACCATCTGGAAAGCGAAGTCGACAACATAAAATTGATACTGTCCGAATTGCCAAACGGCTGTTTTAAAGGCATCACTTTGGAACCGACCGAAGGGCATAGTAGGAACATTTAGGATAGGTAGTTTAAGTTAATATTCGTAGTTTTAGCACACATTTCGAAAGTAATTTCGAAGGCATTCACCGCGCAATAAGCCGAAAATGACACTTCACGAACGTAGCGGACATTGTCATGCAATTAAATATGTTGTTCTTATCACCTGTTTTATTGTTTATCACATAAATACAAGTGGTAATACAATATATAAATGATAAAACCATAAATATGTTTCTTATGAGCTCGCTAATCGTCTTTCGAGCTTATAATGAACATACTCATGGTAAATATCACATTAAATATTAAGTTTATATATATATATTATATTATATATGCATTGAAGTAGTAATACTTGTTTTATCTGGATTGAACAATTGCAAAGGATGGATGAAAGGAGAATAATGAAAGAGAATGAGGCAGATTACATGGAAATGGTGCTAGGATACTGCATAGACGGACATATGAATATTGATGAAAGAATGTAGAGGATGCAAGAGAAACATGGCGTCTCTGCCTGTCTCATAGGAGACAGACGTGACGATATGTATGTTTGTATGAGAACTGTTGTTACCAGAGAAGTACCTTATCAAGTACAGGACAAGATTACTACCTATATGTTTAAAACGCGGGTTATTACTATGTCCGTTCTGGATATACGGGACCTGTCGTTAATGTGGCGAGTATAAAAAAATGCCATAAGCATTAAACAGGTTCCCATTTTATAATTCTAGTATAATAAGTGAATGTTTGGAAAGAGCCGGAATTAAGTGGAATTACATCAATAGACTTGTGGTATAAATGAGTTACAACCGTTATGAGGTGTATGGAAGATACAGATTACATACTTATTGTGTTTTAATTGTTATGACTAGTAGTAAGATCTTATTTCTATTGTTACTAACGGTAAACTCGTATATAACACGAAGTCGTCTGCTATAATATTTGGAAGAATTTTACAGCAGATTCAGCACTGTTTTCCGGTTATGATTGATTGATGGAGTACCTATCTATACTGAATCTAATTATTGTGACCAACACAGACGACATAAAAAATATCTTATAAGAGGCCCATAATTATAGCATCATATCACGTAGTACAATATATTGTAAATTGAATGATCAACTGCATAGTAATGCCACGTATTTTAGACACCATCTTTGTAAGGTGTGATTCGCTTAAAAGCATATGGCAGTAAAATTACAGAGTATTTAGGCAAATCCGTCCTCTGAAATGGCGACGCAATTGCACACTATGTGTCACTCACCACCACGTTGTTAGATCATTTGCTATTCAACTTAATAAAAAAAAATTGATTTAATATATTCTTCCGCATTCGAAATGTATTTTTAGCTAACCCACATTGACTATTCAACTAAAATATGTAATGATGGGTATAGAAATAACCAAGATAGGTACTTCTTCTTGTCAGGGATATAAGTAGAGACAAAACAGTGTCTTATTTTTCATATGTGTATCTGGAACGTGATAAGTAAATATTGCCGCGTTTTTAATGACATCGTCCGCACCTTCACGATTTGTTATTTATACCTTAATTGAAATGAAGATAATTTATTATATGTAATGAATGATGAATAATCTTTGGCCTTTATAAATTACACATGCATTTTCGTTTTAGTTTTTTAAGTTTGTAAATGCTATTTTAGTTTAGAAAACACCGCTATAAAATAAAAGTATATAGGTTAATTTTATTTTGATAAAATTGCACCGGATGTTTACTTTTTTGTGAATAAATTATAAGATTATTGGAAAAAATTTGGGATATCTAGTATTCATTATGAAATTGTTTTTTTACAATAATTTTTAATTTTTTTAATTATATGTGTTTGTAATATTCTTCTAGAGTTTTTTTATATAGGGGAAAGCGGGGGAATTGGAACCTTATAAGGAGAAACAAAAAAATGACGGAGTAGCTTACAAATTAGGTTACTAATTATTACTTTAACTAGTATTTTATTCATAAGAGGTTCATTATTGTTAACATAATTAAAAAAAATACACTTGGCTAGTTAAAATCAACCTTTTTATATATTGTACATCAGCTTTCATTAGCACGCATGTCCGACAATAAGATCCCAACAAAATTAAACTTATTTCAATTCACAGAACAGGAATTTATAGACAAAGCAAACCAAAGCTATAAAAAGTCAACAAAATTTATAACAAGAGAACTAAAACAGTTATTGAAGTAAAAATAAAAATTATTATAAAACTCTAAACTTACTTTGTTTCTTGACTTTTTTAATAACAATTACAATAAAATCTAAAATCTCGTCTCCGTCATGCGTCATGTCTCGTGAAAAACTTTTTAAAAAGTAATATACTCGTTGGTAACATAATCGCACCTATTTCTCCCGCCAAACAGCTTGTTTTGTAAGCTCAGTTTCAGTTAAAAGAAGACTGAATTTATAGGATATCATCTTAGTACTATAGCCATAACATCTTAGTCTTCTGGAATGGCAACGCATGAGTAGTATCACGGTCGGCATATGACAAAATAATGTCAGTATTTTTCTTTATGAAGGCGGATACCGTTTCTGGTCGCTAAAAAAATTAAAAAAAAATGAGCATGCATTTTCGCTAAGTGAAGTAAGTAAGGTACTAACTAACCATGTATTGACGATGCTGTCTTCCAATTTTCGCGCCATTTGTATGTTCCCTTTGAAAAATTTTCGCACCCAATATCGGTTAGCTTTCATTACCCTACTCTCCCCTACGTTGGTATATTTTTGTATATACTGGGTGACTTTGTTTACCGTACGGACAAAATATGGCGAAATAATTAGGTAGGTATTCATACACGAAGGCAATCCGAATTAAATTAAAGTCTTATTTTTTTATTAACTTGAGTAATAGATGGTATTATTACATTTTTCAATATTTATACAGTTCTTCTAATTAGGTTTCTAAAAATTTTATTTATAATATTTTTAGACAATTAACTAAAACGAACTTGATTTTTTTCTTATATATAGAATCGTCGCTTTACTCGAGAAAAAAAAATCACAGCAGGTATATGTATATGGAACTACCTAATCCGTGCTATATATTACGTGGAACATTGTACTATCTATTTCAGAGGAAATAGCAAAACGTTTAAAATTCCTTGCCACTATAACTTGATTAATGAATGTACTTCAGTTTATAGTAGAGTATATGCCCTAATTTTAAACGTTAATGTGTACGTCGTCAAAAGAAAGTCATCCAGTATATAGCTATGTTTCGAAGTCGAAATTTAAATATAGGTTATAAGTATATTAGCTATAAGTAAATTATATATATTGGAGTGGGCTGTAATTTATGTTATTTTCTCAAACGTGTAGGTTTATTTTAGTCCACTCTAATATACTGTTATTGTCTGGGTATAGTTCGACATGCTTTTCTGACCCTGTGACCGAAATTGAAACAAATGTTTCCAATTGTTATATTTTTTGAAATGTTATATTAATGTCTGTTGTTATGCGCAACGCAACCGTTTTTTTTTGTTGTATCGGAGGTAGACTTTAAAAGTCTTCTCCGTCTTCCTCAGTCTCATCTATTTCATTAGGCAGCTTGTTTTGTAAGCTGTGTGTGTTTTAGGTGAGATTAGGCAGTGTAATTTCAAGTTAAAAGGCATAACATCTTAATCCTTAGGAATAGTAATGCATTAGTTGCTGGTGTCTTAATATATAAGCGACGGTTATCTCTTACCATCAGGTGGACTTGCAACTAGTTTTCCATTACAAAAAAAAAAAACAATAGCGTTGGTGTCACCGATCAGACATTCAGGGCCAGATAAGTTTGTGGAACTGTATTTATGCAATTGAAGCGTTGTCACGTTTCCTACAGAGTAACATTTATTGTATACTCTGTTCAAAGAGATTTATAAAAAAAGGTAAATAAAGTACACAGTTCATAGTCTAAAAGTGGTATATTACTGAATATTTCAATTATTCTAACAAAATCAAGTTTTTTTTTTCACAAAATTGATTATAGGTATTTCATTAAAAATCCTATAATCAATATGACTGAGAAATTATTTTTGATTATTATGTTTTAAAAGTAAAAATTTAGAAAAATTAAAAATAAATAATAATGATATTTTTTTAATAATCCAGTCGTACATTATTTATCACTATATAAATATCCGTATTATTTGTTAATACTTATTTTTTTATATTATAATATTGCAACGAATCTATTGTAAATATTTTATTCAATATATTATATTTATGATATTTTTTTCTACATCCCTATTTGATCAATACAGTTTTTTCTACATTACATTCATTTATTTAGTTCTCAATCTGAATAGGTATTTAAAAATATATTCAAATGAATAGTTTTACAAAAAAATATATAAATAAAAAAAAATTGAGTGAGTGCTTATGATAAATTTGACATGACTTTGTTTACCTTTTTATTAACAGAGTATTTTTATAGTTGTCAGAGTATATTTATAATTATGATAACATAAAGCTAAGTTATTTTAAGACAAAGCCTGACCTAAAAATAAAATAGATTATGAAATACTTATCTATTTTTTGCCTACTAATGTTCTAAATTATTGAAATGGAAAATATCGCATTTTTCCGTATTTTATTATAACTGTACAACGAGAAATAGTGTACCAGTCTTTACATTCATTTTTCCTCCGTCAATCTTGCGTATGAATGTCTGTTTATTTTTAAAGTTATTTTACTTCCTAAATATAAATTGCTTATAGTTTTCTTTCAGGCTGTATACATATATGATCTCCTATAAGCCATACTATAATTGTAAAAGCTGCGTTTTACAACGATTTATATTTTATGTCAGGCTTTCATTACTATATATAAAAGTAGTACTAAGATACAGGACATATTAGTACCTAAATTATATATTAATATTGACAACTTAGCGTGCACATGATATGTCAAGCGCATGCTAAATTCTCTATTGAAATGTTTTTATTAATCTTAATTAAGTGATTAATCTTGATGAACTTATGTAACTTAGAAAACTAATTATTCTTGCCGTACTCAGAGAGGCTCCTTAAATTAACTCTAATGATTATTTGGTTAAGTATTATTAAAATTGTCAACAAACCGTTTCTCTAAGCGTTGAAATTTAAAGAAATATTTTAGCTAACGACAACTATAATCGAGCATAGAGCAGTGAAGATAGTATTTAAGCTATCTATTGCAATTGCCGCAGAGTATAGGACTTAAGACTTAGAATAGTAAGACATGATTAATTTGTAGGGAGTCAAAAGAGATGCTTGAGCGCTCCTCCCTGGTTTCGGACAGTAATACCCTCGAGGTTGTATGGCCATGGGTGGAGGTGGGTTATCTACTGCAAAACATATCATCATTTTGCAAGTAGTATAAATTTTCGGTACGAATTTTTAATTTAAACATTCTTGAAAACGAGATCAGTCATAAACAATAATGAATAAATTTAAGTTGCCAATTTTCTCCACTTGCAGTTTTTTTTATTAAATGTTCATCAAAATTTCAACAAAATTATTTTTAGTTGGTGTGCTTTACAAATTAAAATTTCGGAACAAATTAAACCAAGAAATTCCAAAATAATGAATTTTAAAATAACTTCAATTCATGCCAATATTTATCATGAGGCAAAAAAAGTAAGGGTTAGCCTCATTAAATTTAGTTGTCATGAACAATCATCTATTGACTAATTTTTTTACATCTGCACTAATCAATCAGTTGATTCAATGATCAATAAAATACTCTGAGTGCGGCTACTAGAGAGCTATATAAACTTAGAGAACCAATTATTCTTAAAGAACTTATTAATATTAGAAAACTAATTAAACTAAGAGAACCAATTATTCTTCGACAGATTCTAATTCATCTACTATTACTATATTCTATCTTAGATTACTCTTAATTAATTAATCTTAGATATATTTAAATATTATAATGTAAATGTAAGAAAAAATAGATTAGTCCTAATTTGTAAAATGCATCTAAAACATGGGGAAATTATTATCTTATATATCTATCATATGTTATATATTATACATTGAATAAACGTGTATATAATCAGAACATGGTATCGAGAGAATTAGCTTATAATAAAATATATCTAAATTACTATTTAAGGATGGTTACTAGGTATAGCTTTCTATAATCTAAAATAATCATTTGCTTCCTGACATTTATATTAATGATAGATTTATTAACATATATATACATATATTGGATTATAATAATGAGAACTAATAATACTTAACATAAATATAATTGAGACTA